CTCAAAACCTGGAAACATACAAACATTTATCAAAGGTTTATAGCATGTCTCTAATGCACACCTTCCTAATCATTGGTCTGGTTACCTCGTTTTCCTTTCTCCGTGGACTTTTGGAAATCTTGCCGACGGGGGGAAAAAAATGAGACGTTAGACTCCAATTTATTTATTTTTTTCAGATAATCATCAGGGTCACAGCAAGACTCCTCGCTGGTGCTGAAGGAGGGCATGCAAGACTAATGCTAACACAACAAAGGATCCTTTAATATTTTCAGGAGCGCTGGTTGCCACAGCAACAGGGCAGAGATTGTCTTGATGAATTTTACTGTACGGCAGCTGTGCGCCGGCCACCTGGGAAAGAAACGGAGAGGAAGCCCGATTTAGACGGAAGCCTCATTGATTTGGCGAGGTAGAGAGTTGGCATGCGCCTAATGTTTCTTATGTCTAACACTCAAGATTTATCTATTGATCAAAAAGGTGCAATTTTCAAAGACCCTTAAAAACCCACATGTGCCTTTCTGAAACCACTGACTTAATTAGTAGCCGGTCAAGTTTGGCATTTGTTGTATCCATTTGGACAGCTTAGAGTCTTGGATGAATGAAACTCATCTATATGAAAGGCTGGTATTTAAAACATTGACATAACAAAAATAAATACAATTAAATGTCTATAATGTCCAGTTGAAGCTACAGTGATGACGGTAGAAATGAAGAACACTCCCTTTTGATTCTAGGCTTTACATACTGAGACATATCAAGAATGGTCATTAGTTTTATTTACAGCTCTGGAAGAAATTAAGAGACTGTTTAAAATGATCCCTTCTGAGGCAGAAATCGATGTGTTGCTGAGTGAGGTGGAAAAAAAAATACAACTTTTGGTTGCCACAGCAGTAGAGTGTGTGTGTGTGTGTGTGTGGGGCAGGGGGGAGGGGGTAAATAAAAAGAACAGATTCTCCACTGGCATTGTAGGATAATGATGTCACACTCTGGAGTTGAGACTGTTGGTAAAGCAAACCTCTGCATTCCTGGTACTTTGTTTCACATTGAATTCAGATTGTTCACACCTAGTTTACTTCACCTGATTTCTGGAGCCTCTGGACATTTGGGAAAAAAGTTGAAGTCACCACTCATGTAAGAAGTAATTCAAATTAAATTTTTAATAACTAAAAAAGTTGCCAAACAACTTTTAAAAAAACACGTACTGTGTTTGCATCTCTTTGCTTTTTCCTAATTTTCCCAGCACAGAAACGCTGTCCTTTATTACATACTGAATTCTCCAGACTGGAGAGTGCACCTCACTATAAGCCGCACCCATAAAGTGTAAAAATTCAAACCAAGGACAATAATCGTCCTAAAAAGTTGAACTTATAAATCGGTTTATCAGACTGAACTTCTACAATGCTTTTCCAGATATTTTGACCACTCAAAGCGTTTTACACTAGAGTCACATTCACCCATTTCAGACTCATATTTATACACTGATATGTAGGTCAGTGGTCAATGAGGGGTTAAGAAAAATGGCCACATCTTCATTGACGTGCAACAGGAGGAAGCTGGAATCAAACCTTCAACCCTCCATCTGCTTGGCCTCCACTCGCCCCGAAGGAGGCTTTATTCACTCCAATATATTTGCACTCAGCGTGTCCCACTGTTGCATTATTAAACAGCGCTCCATTCAGAACTGAACGGCTGCTGTAAATTGACATTAGGGACAAATTTTTATTCCACATGCAGAGACGTGATGCTGAAATGTTCATGTGGGAAATGAAGCAGCGTTTGTGTGAACCCCTTTTGTCAGTCGACAGGTTGCCAAAGAAACGTGAGGCAGTTTGCGTTTGTTTGGAAACAGCAAAAAATTGCAGAGGAGAGACGAGAGAGAGAAAGGCAGAGGCGATGGGGAAAGGGTTAGGAAACGTAACGCCATGCAGTGAGGTGTTCGGAGTTTATCCAGCATCTGCTGTCGCAGGCTTTCAGCTTCCCATCTCTTTGCGGCGTTTTGTGACGGTCCACCATTTGCTGCTGAGTTATGGAGCTTTTCAGTCTTTTTTTTTTTTTTTAGACAGGTCTGTGATGTTCTCCCTGAATATTTTTCCAAGAGTTTTCAATCACACTTCTTTATTGTGAGTTATTCCCAATTAAATTATGATACAAGCTGATCTCAAAAACTTTACTGAAAATGGCTAGACAGAGTGTGATTGTCAAGTAGTGTTTTACTGATGTTGCTGCCAATTTGCTGGCTTTGATTTTTGATCACTTGCTTTTCATATAAGCATGTAAACAAGCCATCTTACACCCACACATTTACATAATTTGAAGTGTCTGTCATGACCCACTGCAGGAATGTCCAAAATTGTGTGCAGCCCTTGTCCACAATTCAACAGTAGCAGAGATTTATTTCACCAGCCTGTTGATCAAGATGTGCTTTAAACAAACTAAAGTGAATTTTTCACAAATAAAACAAGTGATTCAAATATTCGAAAAATAAGCAAAAATTTAAAAAATGAATAGAACCCCGGACTTATAATACATCCAGAATGATTTTCAGGTTCTTTGTATAAACATCCGTTCATCAGATTAGGATTTTGTGTATTTAGACTATAAACTGAGAGCGGCAGAGATACCAGCGGCTCACATATATATGTTTCCAGTTTAAAAAACAAACAAAAAACAACTTTGTAGGTGCGGCCTATAGTAAGGTGCGGTTATAGTCTAGAAAATACGATATGTAAAACCATTTTCAAGTGACATCAGAATATAAAACAACATGTGCTGGAAAAAGAAATACAGTCATTTGCAAACACTTCTTTAAAGGTGTTTTGCAAATAACAAACACTCTGCAAACGTCAATGTTATGGAATATGGATGTTTAAGAAATGCTTAAAACATAAAGTGAGCTATGTGAAACTATTTTGGAGGTAATCTCCCTCCTCTGTGCTTTAAAATCCCCTATTGGAGAGTTGATGAGCGGTGTGAACGTTACAGAAAAAAAAAGTCTATAAATAAAAAATAGATGGAGCCTTCTCCAAGGTACCCACACTAATTGAATCATTTTTCAGAAGAACCAGGAGACGGACTGACACAGAGTTAATGGTTGCGTTTGCATTGCTAGCGTTTCCCCAGGAGCGACCTGGAAGTCTGCGCCACTTTAGCAACACTTGGACTGTGTTTGTGTAGACTTCACTTGCGGTAGGATAATAGCCTCCAGCTAATCCTCATAGCCTTAAGGCTGTCATACTTACTTAGAAGAGAGAAATAAGAAAAAGCTGACCCAAAGTATTTTTTTCCCTTCAGCCTCGCTTCCCATTATAATAAGTATTTTTCCTTGAAAGGCTTTGCAGTTTAGAAAAACTCCTCCATCCTTGAAAGTAGCGAAAACAAAAAAAAAAACAGTGTCAGGTTTGTTTTTGTGTGAATGTTGTCAAATGTCGGTTGCAAAGATGATGATCAGCATTTAATTGTAGGCGAGTTGTTTCAGCGTATTTTGTTTTTGAATATTCAGTATCATATGGGAAAAAAAAACCTAAATAGTTATTAGTGCTAAAACAAATAAAACAACAGCGACAAAGCAATGAATACAACACCAAACCCTTAAAACTCATTTTCATTGAAACTTCAACATGTTCATGAATTCAGAATGTGTCAAAGAAAATGACAGATGTTAGCTGTCATAGTAAAACGTACAGTAGGTCCATAAAACTATAATGGCTTTTCATTCAAGACAATGGCATTTTTAAAAAAGTTTACTATCATGTTTAATGGCTTGGTGGACACACAGACAATGAGTGTGAGTTAGTTAACACACATTTGTTTAGTTGACACAGTTATTTTGGCACACAATCGCTGTAAACATGTCAAACTTATTTTGAAAGATAGATGTTTAATAAAAGTTTTTACAACCCGTGTGCGTGTGTGTGGGTGTGTGTGTGTGGGGCGGGGGGGGTGCTTGTGGGCGTGTGTGTGTGTGTGTGCTCATGAAAGAAAGTGTGAGAGTGTGAGTTTAAATGTAGGTGGGTGAACGTTAGCGTTTATGTATTTGAACCTGCTGGGTTTCTTTTACACGTTTTCTGCTCATGTAAGCACTGGGAAGTGGGTGTTTTTGTGCAAGTCTCGATAATGTGTGTGTGCGTGTGTATGCATGTTTTTTTTGCCCACTCATAACCTATCTTTATCCGCGCTGTGATGTCTACAGTAACCTGTTTTCTTTGTTGAAAGAACCAGACAATTTTCTCTGCAGTTTCCTCTGTGTGGGATCAGTTTTCTAACATTTAAGTTAATTGTTTTGTTTTTTTTATGATTTGTTTCTTGTTAAGGTTGCTTTCCTTCTGTTACCAGCAGCCAAGCAGCAGCCTGAGGTAGAACCTGGACTTGCTGGGCAAATCAAGCTGTGCAGCGACTGCCTGAACAATTCGTATTGTGTCAAACTGTGACACCTTGACTCTTCTCTGGCAAAAACACCTCTTACCGCGCTTTCTCTCTCCATCCTGTTTGAACTCTTTTTGTTTTGTTTTTTTCCCCCTTCCTCTAAACTGGGCTTTTTCATACTGTTGTGTGAATTTTTGGCATTGTCACATATTCCCAAACTTTTGCTTCGTAGGGCTTTTTCAGATCCCTGAAGGAATCGCTGAATCGACATGAATTAATAGCGTCACTCAAAGAAAAAAGACGGAAGATGCTGCAGCTACGTTCTGTGTAGCTGCACCTGTAGCGTCGCTAACGGCTCACTTAGCTTTTTTTTTTAATTACTTAAAGTATATGCATGAGTGCTAGTTGGATGATTAAGTAAAATGGAGAACTGTTTTCATTTTTGTTGTTAGTGATCAGTTCAGAAATCAATATTTGGTGGAATAACCAGGAGGTTTTCAATGGGGTTCAGTGGAGTGGTCTCTTCATCAGTTCCAGAGCTTCATATTCTATTTTTTTCTATTAGCAGAGTTGATGTTTTTTTTTTTTTTTTTGATGTGGTAAAAGAACACCAATAATTTTCTTTAACTGCCTGTTTCCACGTGGTTCGAGCGTGTGAGCATGATGGTGATCCTGCTGAACTGCGTGACTCTGGGGATGTACCAGCCCTGCGAGAACATTGACTGCTCCTCAGACCGCTGCCAGATATTACAGGTACACAAACCGAATGTCATTTTCACAGAAATGGTGCTCAGAACTGGTCTGCATACACCTAAATTAATTGTAATCGAATGAAAAGTGATAACTATAGGATGTGGATATTTGAACAGTCGTATATGGATATAATTTTAATCATATTCATTGCAATACTTTTAATTTTCTAATCATTTTAAGGCTAAAGTTGATTGAAAAGTGTGATTTCAGTCATTATGTGGTTATTACTACCATCATCTCACCTTGTAAAACTGGTGCTAATATTTATTGATTTTCTTTCACAGACATATATATGCATATTTTGCATTTTTTCCCTTAAATTACCCAACTCATTTCTTTTAATTTGAGTATGCAAAACAATTGTTTAGCACTGTTTTTCTGATGCTGCACATTTGCCCGTACTGTGAAATCATCTATTCTTATTTTACCTTTTGTGTGAACATGTATTCCTCCTCTTATGTTTAACTCACTACAGGAGAAAAATAGTATTTTATATTCTGTCATGTTTTAATGAAGGGCCACCATTCATTATTAGGGAGTGGTTCTGGTATTTTTGATTTAGCCTGAATGTCAAATAGCTTTAGCATCAAGCTGATAAACACAGAACAGCCTTTCTTTAATGCCAGAAGTGTCTTTAGTGGGTGCAACATCTGCACCCAACTGTGTGCATACATGTCTTTAGTCTTTTGCTGAAAGCCACTTCTTAAACCGACTTACTCTCCTTTTTCTTATATTCTCAAACCACACACACACGCACACACACACACACACTCACACGGCAACAGGCACATCTTGGAAACACTGGCAGTTGATTGATTTAACTCTCTAAGGGGGACCGATTGTTGAGTTGGACCAAATAGAGTTTCCCCTCTAAGTATCTTTGGACTCTGTTTAATAGCAAAATGGATTTAGTGAGCAGCTTCACCGAATCAGTGGAGTTCTTTCAGAACATTTATGGTTCAATAACATATTGTTTGACGCTGAACATTCAGCTACATCTGTGAACTCTAACACATGTGGATCCTCAGATAAGGCTTTGTCTTAACTTGTAATAGATTATTGGTGATTCAGTAGATCTTAGTAGATTTTACACCATTGTGCACCAAGATGAGCGGTAAGCTAAAACTGACAAATTAACGAAAAGTGAAACTGAGAAAACATCTTCAGTAACTAAAATAAAGAAACTGAACCTTAATAGAATTATATAATGCCTTTATAGAACTAGCTAAGACATTTTCATGTTTATGTATCTATTTGTTAGACTTTTGAATTATGAGAAGTTGATTTATTTATTTATTTATTTTGCCCCACACATACAGTTTAAGTCACGTGCCATCAAATCACACTACTCCATGTGGTGGCTACGCTACGCTGGTCCGCAAAATGGCGACAGCCAAAGTTGGGAGAAAACGTCAGTCAGCTGAATAAATTTGTTAAAAACAACCACTTCATATGTACATAATCACAATTCTTTGACCTTTCTGAATTCTACATCTAAAAATTAACCAGACCATCAAGAAACTAAAACTATTATTAGAAATATAAACTGAATGAAACATTTGTCTAATAAAAACTATCACACTCTTAAAAGTAAATCTAACCGAATTAGACAACTAAAAAGTAACAAGAGTAAACAAAACTATAAGAAAAACTGAAAACAATTATAACCCAGGTATACAAATATTTTTAATTATACCTGTTAAAACAGAGCCAGAAAACAATCGTTGCAGCTTCGCACAAAGTGCCAGAGAACAAAGTCACAGAGTTGTTGCAGTATCAACTGCTGCAGCTTCTCCACTGGCCCTCAAGATGACCGTAAATTGACTTCTGTATACTTTAAGTGGCCCAGGGTAATATCACACTCTATTGAAGTCGTCAGTCAGAAAGGTTGTAAAACATGAACCCAAGAGAAGTTGTTGCAAAACTCAGACAACAGCAGCAACTTGTCCTCTTGAGTGTGTCAGACTGTGTGCTGCATAAATCTGGATTGTTTATTAAAAATCATGCTTTTCCCTTTTTTCCCCTCAAAGCCTTCACTGAATATTAAGACTTTACAACAAATCTTCCCAACCTGTGACCTTACGGGATTAGACAAGCTGTAGACGTCCGATAAATTGGTGACTCAACTCCTGAGTTATGATTTTTGGCCTAATGTTTGGTCAAACTAACCAATGCCCCAACGTCTTGTGCCCACTAGATAGGTTATGAGAATAACCCAGCATTGATTATAATATTTTGGTTCATTTCTGTAACCCTAACACTCATGTGATTTTGAAATGTAACCCATTGAGTCAAAAACAAATATAACTACATCAAAGTTAACTATGTATGCAGGTTCAACCTTACATACTTTTAGGATGCATGAAGACTCCAAGAACGATTTTTAAGTATCTCAGTTGGTCTGAAACTGACAACGTTTATGTAGAGAGGTTATTGAGTTACTAATATTATTTATAAGTAATAATTAAAGTAAGTACATCTCTCAGTCAACAATAAATGTGATAGAATGCATTAATTTTAGTTCATCAGTACGTCAATAAAGAATATTGAGGATCTCATTGTAGTCTTTGCAACAGATTTTGTGGTTGGGATCATAGGTCAAATTGTATTTATGTTTACCCACTTTGATCCTCGGGGATTACTCAGGATCACAAAAACGAAAACAGAAAAGAGAGGAGAGCATGTACACTTCATCATTTCTATACTTCTGACCATTTACTTGACCATTTACTCCTGGAAGGTTGCAAACTTTTGTCGCTAAAATTCCCAAGACATCCGAAGGCAGCGGGGTGCACGGTTCTTCAGCTGCGAGCTCGTCGCCAAACAAAGTCGGTTCGGCTTGAGATTGTGCCGCTAGCAGTCCTGCACCCCCCTGAAAATCAAATTACAAGCAACACCGAGCTTGTCAGTTCGTCTCTAATCCCCCTTTTACACAGAAGAGAACAGTTAATCAAAGCTTTGTGCTTAAAACAGCAATACCCCGTTACAAGCTGAGATCATTTTGATTTGTTTTATTTTTATTTTCACCCCTTTCTCTCTTTCTCCATTTAATTAAATGCTTGATTAAATCTGGGTGTGATATGAGGGCTGCCCATGCGAGGTTCATCTTTGATTACTTTTCAAACAAATTATTTTCTATTATCCTACCATTTAGGGGCAAAATGCTCAATTTCTACGAAAAGAATATAAGAGGCTAGAGCAGCCTTTGGGCAAGAAAAAAAAATTGAAATTCATATTTAATAGAGAGAAGATGAATGGGGCTTTGACATGGAGATAAGAAATTAGAGAAATGATGAAACATTAACTTTGAAGAACAAGACAGAGCAAGTTTAGAGAAGAAGTTGGTTTGAACTTTGATTTTAGCCATTTATTTTATGTGAGTGGCCTCGCTTACCATTCTGTTCACTGTGCATGAACAGAATATTATAGCCTGGTGGAAAAATGTAAGAGGAATTAACTTCTGTGTCATCCTATGTTTTTCAACGAGAAAAACTAAAAAGTGTTTAGCTTTTAATCTGATAAACTTATTTTTATATAGGTGTATATATATAAAACTAAAAACTTCAGAGACGTTTACTTTAAAAAAACTGCAATAATTGTGCCATCAGGGATTTTGTTAGAAGTTTTTGAAATGATGGAAATTCTATATTTTCCAAGACACATTTTATGGCATAGTGAAGTAACTGTTACCTTCAGCTTTGATGAAAATACTGTATAAATTAAAAGTAACTTAAAAGAAATTTGACTTGACGCCTCGAAATTGACCTCTGTCTCTTTAACAACCTCCCACCCTTGCCAACACCCTCTCTAGTCATCACAACGACGCTCGACCATCTATGGAGCGTTGCAGTTTGTATAAAAACCTCAGCAGATGTGCAGTTCCACCAGGTGTTTGCTAATATTGCTGCTGCCACTAGTCTGGAGGAGCTGAATGGGGGAGGCGCAGGAGAGGGTCGCCCTGTGGAGTGGAGGCTCGTCTGGGGACTGCAGCTCCAAGGCGGAGCTTTGGGGAAATAGACAGGGCATCTCAGGATCAGGCAGTAAGTAAGGCACCACCTGAATGGTTGCCATGGGATATTTAAGCATTGCGCTAAATTTCATCAGTGAGATGCCATGCAACCGCAATTAAAAATAATATGTATGTATTTCATCTTTAGCCCAAAATAAATAAATAAAAATTTTATTCTCGAGATTTTTCACATCTTTAGCAGTGATGTATCCAGCTCTGTTTTTGAATTCGTGGTGTATGCTCCGACTTTGAAAGTGCATGATGTAAGTCATAACTACTTCATAAACGAGAAGCAGACAAACATAATAACTTCCTCATATCGCTGTGTTTTCTTGACAGTAGGCAATATGGACCCATCGAGTTGGAAAAACAACATGTTTTCCGTCTTTAAAATGTCATTGTCACCATCAAGTGATGTATAAAATCCAAAGGTTTTGTTCAGCCATGTGGGAGACAAAACAACTGCTACCATCATTACAGAACACAGTCAGTTTGTTTCTGTGTATTACCTTCTCACAGAGGTCAAGCACATTTTGTCTTCTTCTCTCAAAGCTGCTTTTATCAAAAAAATGTCTTTTTATTTATCTATTAGAACTGTCACCATATCCTGACATTAGGTATATGAGACAGATTATCTGTGAAAAGATCCTTCTGCTGCATTTCCTCCCTGAACTGCTGTAGGCATCTGAATAAATGTAGCCAATCAGAGCCAGGAGGAGGGTCTTAGCACTGTCAATCAATGCAGTGTACGTGTGCTAAATGTGCTAATGGCAGAGAAACAACTTACTAGTACACGAAAGCCATCATCGGTGGGTATGCTAACTAGCTTGAGCATTTACAACGGCTTCTGCTACATGCAGAGAGCAGGGGGGAGATGAAAACGGGCCAAATGGAGCCTGATTGACAGCCCTAAGACCCGCCCCTGGCTCTGATTGGCTGTTTCTAGACAGCATTGGAAACACGCTGATTTTCTGTCTCATGCCACACTGTGGACATACAGTAGTGACAGTTTCAAAAATGTCGGAAAATATTTTTTATAAAAGTTGCGTACTGCAGCTTTAAGGTAAAAACAAAGTCTTAATTTGCCTTTTATGCAAAATAGTAAAAAAAAAAAAAAAAACACTTTCCCTTCTGTTATAGTTTGAACCCATTAACTTTATTTGTGTTTTTTTTTTCAGGCGTTTGATGCGTTCATCTACATCTTCTTTGCCATGGAGATGGTCATAAAGATGGTCGCTCTGGGAATCTTCGGACGCCGCTGCTACCTTGGAGACACGTGGAACCGACTGGATTTCTTCATCGTCATGGCAGGGTCAGAACTTTCTGTTCCCGTTGTTTGATCCTCCTCTTGGCGGGGTGGCACCCCCTGACGGGTGTAGTGAAAATTCACAAAGTGGCACAGAAACATATGCACCAAATGTAAATAAGATGCAGAATGTAGAACATATAGACCAAAATATAGCTGAACAATTTAAAGTTGTGCATCTTAAACATTGAACATCACACCGTACTGCAAACGTTCAGAATTGTAACCACAGCTTGCCAGTGCAGCACGTTTAAATCGTTCCAAAGTTCAAACGGAACCATGACTTATCGTGGCTCTATTTAAAGACTTGGCCCTTGACTCGCTTTTTTTGTCTCAAACTGCTTTGTCTTCCTGACACGCTCCTTTGCGCTCTCATGCATGGCTGATCATCCCATTGTTAAATATATATGGCAGCGTTAAATATTAATATGTTGATAGTCGCCGGCTCTCACCTGGGACAGCGCCTCTAATAACGCGGAGATGATGCGGCTAATCATCGTGAAATAATTCAATGAATCAGCTGGAACGAGCGTGTCATAAATCCTGCATCGGATTCCTGCTGCTGCTAATGAAAGGAACCCCGGACAAGTCTCTTACTGATGTTTTTATGAGGAGTTTTTAAGCATTTCACAGGCAAATGTTTTCTATATATCGGGACGTTTTTGTTTGATAATATTTGTTCAAAGATCTGAAACACAGTTACTGGAAAAGCAGAAGAAACCTCTGAGGGAGCGAATATTTTTTCACAGATGAGTGAACCTTTGAGAGCTTCAGTTTTGTTCATTTTATTTGAGCTTGTGTGGATCAGAGCCATATTTTCTAGTTTCTTCTTCTTTCTTGCTGCCTGTAAATAATGCTCAGAGCATCTGTCATGCACAGTAATTTACTTTTAGCACATCAGGCTTTTTTTTTTACTTTAGTTTTATATTATTAATAATAAGAGGATTCTGAAATTTAGCAAATGTTTGTAAAAAAAAAAAGAAAAAAGAAACTGACATCAAGGATCATGAAGGACTTTCATGACCCTAAATCGGATAATTGAATTCTAACATGCAGAACGCCTTAGAGCTTCTGTCTTAGGCAAAAAGGTCACTAGCTGTGTTTCCATTAGTAATAAGGTTGCGCAAATTAGAATTATGAAAATGAATTTGCTTAATAGAAATATTCCAGTTCTGAAAAACTAAAGGTTTTCAGTGAAAGGTTTTTTGCGCAACGATGAACTGTTTTTTTCTTTGTTTTTTTTTTTTTTCCATTTTTACACACTCCTTTTGCATCACACAAGTCATGAGACCAACAGTCAGATGTTACTTCTGGCCAAAACCATAAAGAAGACAACAGGAAGTAGCGGGTGGAAGAAGTTTGATTCAATTAATTAAATTCAATTGTTCAATAGCTTTCCTGTAATATTACAGGAAAGTGCTATACTTTCCTGTAATATTACAGTACTCTGTAATATTACAGTACTCTGTAATATTACAGAACGGTACTCAGCCGAAGCTGAGTACCGTTTGAGTACCAATAATGGCCCTAATTTTTATATGGGTGCTGCATCCCCAGTAAAAAATGGTTCCCACCATTCTTTGCTGGATTCAAAGTAAACGTAAAGAAACTGGTCGTACCAACTTACCAAAGAATGCTGGGACTGTAGATTTCTAACACCTCACTTTCCTACATATTGCACACAAAACATTGTAGTGAGTTGAAGTTATACAGAGTAACTGGAGATATTGAATGACCTATCTTTATAAATCCCAATAAATTATGATCAAACATGTTGGAAGTTACCTTTGAGCTTGTGCCAAAGGCATTCGTCCAGTCCAGTCCATTTAATCATGGGATCATTTCTATCCTGTCTTGTGAGGAGGGAGAACATCAGGGTGTGGAAACCCTGAGGCTGTCCAGTTACAGGTCATTAAACTTCTTGACTCCTGCTCAGGTCACATGTTCTGTCAAAAAACTCTGTGATTTGGTGTCAAGCTTTTGTTCCATCGGTGGACATCGCAGACAGTCTTAGCAGACAGCCTTTGTCCTTCTCGGGTTTATTTCCGTTAATATATTCATAGAATAATTTCAAAGAAAGACAAAAAGGCAGCTCAACTTCTAATCTCAGTCCTGTGGAATGCTAAAATTTATTCCTAAAAGCTAAAGTTTGATCTTTCATAATTTATGTTTCTGCAGAAACATGACTTTGCTCTTTACCAGGATCTATTTTTACAAGTAAATACCCCTCATGTCTTATCAGGCGACAAACTCACACTCAGAAGCAGAAACATCTTGTTGAAAAATGTCAAAACATGAGGGAGTGGCATGAGTCCAGGGAGAAGCAAAAAAAATTTATTTTTGACAAAGAGCCAAAAGATTCTCTGAAGTCTGAAGAAATCATGACACTTTACGCCAAACAGATCCCACATTCTCAGTCTTAAAGACTAACATCTAGTCTTTAAGGCTCCGCAATAAAAGCTTTTCTATTTATTTTTTATGAAGGCTTGATTTAAAGATTGCAAACAGAGGTAGATGAACACACTGACAAGATCAAGTTTTATTGATCTTAAAACTAAACTGGTTTTAAGATCAATTTAATCTCTAACACTTTTTTAATCTGAACTCGAGAGTTTGTTTGTAAAGGTGAAAGGGCAAACTTCTGTGTTTGTAGAGACAAAAACTCAAACTCTCAGCCGTCTCTGCAGCGGAAGATGATTTATTTTATTTTTTTTTTAACAAAAACTCTATAGAAAATGTCTTTTTAACATAAAATGTAAAGAAAATACATTGAAGTTTGTGGCTGTAACAAGTCATCTGGGATGTTTTTATTGCATTATTCCTAGTTCTCCTGTTTCCTCTGAATCTTTTTATTCCCCCATCTCTTCTTTTTCTCTCAAAATCGAGGTTCGTTTTTTTTCCACTGTCATTAATACGGTTTTCTCTAAACTTTCTGGCTTTTATCTCTCAGAGGCACAAAGTTTCAGCCTTAAGGCCCGAGAGGCTTTTGCATAATGTTTGATCTAATCCCTTTTTTCCCTCTGATTCCAAACATTTTCAGCTCTAATATCTGTCCTCATCCCCTTGCTCCTTCTCTCTCTCTCTCTTTCCCTCGGTCATCATCTCTTAAGTAAAGTGGAGACCTTTTCCCTCATCTTTGGGCCAAATCCCGATGCTTAGCGTATGCACTGCAGAGGGATCCCACTGCCATTCCCCGATTACGCTCTAATATCACACCGGCCGCATGCAGAGTGTGTAGCGACGTGGGAAATCGCTGCGCCCCGCCGGGGAAACACGTGTTGCAAACGCAAACTGAACCGTACACAATCTGCAGGAAGGAGTCGACGAGCAGCGGGAGTTTAGCTTGGATTGCTCAAATTGAAGCCACGCGTGGTTAAAAATGAAATCTGAGGGTTTTTAGAACTTGGCTGAGACTGGAGGAGACAGCTGGCCAACCTGAAACCAAACGCTTCCTTTCGTACAGCATCTTTCCAACGACTACAGTATTCAAGATACATCATGACTGATGTGTTTCCAAAGGGTGAACACAGACATACTTGGTTGTTGTTGTGCAATAGGGCTGCAACTAATTAGTAAACGATTATTCTCAGTTAGTCGAATTTTGCGACATTCAGCAAATTTTTCATTCAACCACTTTAGTGTTTCCATGTACTTTTATGCAAGTGAACGAATGATTCAGTTCTTTTGTTAAACAGGGAAATATAAACATTTTATAGCCTAAAATGCAACAACCCGACATAGTGAATGTGAACCAGGTGAAATTATCTAAAGATCACTAAAGATGTGTTTACTGTAAATCCAAATTGTATGTGTATTTCTGAACAGTTTTGGTTTAGACACTGCTCTGAATATGTTTATATTTTAAGCAAAGGGTCTTTTTTTGAGTTCATATTGTCCAGTCGATCACTAACTTAGTTGACAATTTCTTCTATAATTGATTAATCACAGTTAATCTGATTAATCCGATTATTCATCTGCATCAACCAACATGCCAGATTTCGCCACCCAGAATCCTTCAGAGGGGCACAAATTGCCCCCGAACCGCACTTTGAACACCCCGGTGCTAATCGCTTCTTGTTACACCCCTGTGTGCTACGCCATGCTTGACACAGTACTAGAATGAGACTCGGCCCAATCGCAAAAAACTGTCGCAGTGCTGGAAAACTGGCTGAAAATGAACCAAAAATAGCCCAGTGCAAGCATGGCCAGATGGAGATGAAGTGATAAGGCTGCGTCCTGTTAGAGACGCCCAGCTAATCTGTTAACGATCAAACCTCTGCACCAAAGTTTGCCTGTGGCAGGCTGCAAGAAAAAACATTTTCTTGTCACAAAAACCACTCTGGACGTTTAAAAAAAAGAGCACAGGATTGTGCAGTCTGCTTCAGTTAGCCATAACTAGCATGCCTTCCACCTCTGCTTGCTGTCAGCATTGTTTTCCCCAAAGTGACTCCGACTCGCCTTTAAAGAGATTAATAAGCAACTCAGAGGCAAGCAATTCTGTGTCCCTGACACACTTCCTGTGTTTATATGTAGCTGCAGGAATGCGTGTATTCTTTATATTTAGAGGTGTGTGTATTCTTTTGTCAGCCTGTCTGGTGGGATGTGGTTGGGTTAGGCTATCGGCGTGTGCAGAAGAAGCTCCTGAGGCTGCAGAGCTCCTTCAGACCCATCTGACCTGCTCTATCTGTCTGCAGCACTCAGCAGAAGCAGCACAGCAGAGAAAACATTCCTTTTGATCACACTGCGAGTGGAGGATTTGTGTAATTTAGTCCCCGTTTCCCTAAAAAAAGTGTCAAAGTATAATGCCAGAGTTTATGATTTTGTGAATTTCTCCCTTTTTTTTGCAACCCTAACATGAATCAGAGCCAAAAATTATCCATCTAATATGGATCGTATTAAAGATGCAGCTGTTTCCATGTAAATCTGCCAAACTGAGATACTCGTGGTCCACATTATGCATGCCCACACGCAACATCAGCCGACTCATTCTCCCAGTTCATATCTGC